CGAACCGAACCGTGAATTTTGTGTATCGTTGCACCCCTAATATGTATGCTCCCATATTTTTAATAAGACAGGTTGTACCAGTTTAAGACAGGTACTCCCTGTCTTTTGGAAAAACATTTTTGAACATGTCGATGAAATTTCTTGAGAACCCACAGACATTATCAAATCTATGGAAAGTTCATAGAAGGGGCCAACTGAACCTTCAGGATTTGAAAACTGTTTGTGTAGAAGAATCAGCTAAAATCACAGTTGATGCATGCGACTAGTTTCTCCATACAGGAGGTGTGTTGAAGCTGTCATCACCAGCAAAGGATTTTGTATGAAATATTAAATACATTTCTGTAAACATATTCAATACTTGACTGGTCTTTCAGTTCTCATTTAGGTCAAAGTATAGGATAGTATAGGAGGAGTTGCAGATGTAGCTTAGACTTTGGATAAAATGAATCAAGCTTTCACATTCACGGATTTACATCAATTGATCTTAATTGTAAAAATGAGCAATAGACTTTGTTGGTCTAAAACAGTTTTGAGCAGTTTATAATTTATGGATATGGCAGGTTATGCAGGAAATGAATGTAAGATAATGAAAATATCTTACATGAAATAAGATACTTTATTACTTTACTTTACTTTATTTATCCCAAGGTTGGGCTCACTATTTTTTTTCTTTTCAATAAGGTCTAATTCTGTCAACCAGCCATCCCTTTCTCCTCCATCAGAACGCTGCTTAAGAAGAAAATGACAGGGCTGTTTTCCCTAACAATGAGGTAGGAGCGTGGGCCAAGATGGTGGTGCTGTTGGTAGGAATGTGTGTGTGTGTGTGCGTGTCTGTGTGTGTGTGTCTGTGTGTGTGTGTGTGTGTGTGGGGGGGGCATTATTATTATAGAAACTGGATTTTGAATTGTGAGTTGACAACAAACGAGACTCTTCCATTGTAATCAGAAGAGGATTGATTTCACTTTGCCTGATTCTATTTTATACAAACTTGTATCAAGTGAAGGAGAGAGCATTTCCAGAAATCTTTCTAACTTATTGTTTTCCTTACCTTGTTGTTTTATCTATAGGTATAAAAAACATAAAAATAACCATAATGTCCCCAATTGATTTTAAACTTTCTGGAAAACACTTTGGCTGCCACCATGTCAGTGTTTTGGAGCCAGACATTATTATTACTACCTACTAGCCCACTAGTGACCTAACCAATTGCAAGGAGGTTTTCAGTGCAGTACCATATACAGCTTTGTGACTAGTTTCACTATAGTGGCTTTTAGCATTGCAAGCAATAGCGGAATACACATTTTTCCCCATTGATTGATGGTTGCCAAAATGTTCACCAACAGCATTGTAAGCCTGCATGACTCAGGCTTTAGCAATCTTCATAAATTACCTATGTAAAGACATTTATCTGTTAATTTATGCTAAATATTGGTATACCTGTCAAAGGAAAAACAATGAAGTGAGGCCCAAACGTTATTTGATTTATTTAGTATTATTTTTAATATTATTATTTATTATTAATTTCTCTAAGTAAAAAAGATGGAATCCTCTACTGTCTGCTGTTGGTCATCCTCGGTTCTACTTCCTTATATACAAGGTATGTATTAAGGCACTATTTTCAAAAGCATATTGATACGTAATATCTATATGATGTAGCAACCTTTTCAAACAATTTATTTTGTTGTTATGTCTTGTGGTGCTTATTTTTCCGGTATCAGATATTTAAGGAACACTATCCTAATGATAAAATTGCACCCTGAACGAGAACCAAGCCAGCGCATTAATTTGGATGACACATTTAACTTTGGGTAAGAGATATTCAAAATTTGGACACCATTGTCTGGTAATTATAATGTCCCATACTTGTATTTGATTTTTA